GGCTGTAGGGGCTCATCCTGGACTGGGACCCTGGACTGTGATCTCCGGGCTGTAGGGGCTCCCTCTGAATTTGGTGTGAAGGGCGTAGGGCAGCACCAGCTAGGATTTCGGCGACAACCACTGGCTACACTGGTAACTGAGCTCATTGGGAACCATCACCCAGCAAGCTCTCCCAAAGCAAAAAAGCACATCATGACAAGCACACAGGCACCCATGACCTCTCACCCCACGCTCACCACGACCCTCGACCCCGAGAGTCAGCAGCTGGAGCTCCCGCCCTGCAGCCACCAGAAGGAGGGCTGGGGAGTCATAGAGAACAGCACCGTGGCAAACGCCCCCTGCTGGATGGAGGACCGAAGTTGCTTAAGGTGTCAACCATCCAGGAACAATTGAAAAAAAATCTTAGCAATAACATTCGAAATACTATCGATACTGGTGCAAACCACTGAAAACCTGGCTGTAGCAAATATATGTAATTGAGGCAAATTAACAGAAACAAATGGAGAAACTGAAATTTATGTACAGGAAGGTAGCAGAGTTTTTAGGAACCTATGAGACCTTTGAAATTGGATGTGCAGTTGGGATGGTAAGAGAGAAGGACACAAGATCTTCGACTCTCCCTGCTCTTATAGAGCTCTTATTAATCCCGATGTTAGCGGAATATGGCACAAACTCATGTGTAAAAGAGTTGTATCCACCATGTGCTTCACTCACCTTATTGTCAGTATCGGCCTCTACCCTCCTGGCAGGGGTGGGTGTGGTCGGGCGTTGTTCCGCCAATCCCGTCGAGGTGGGGCGGGGCAGAGGCGGGGCAGGAGGCGGGACTCCGTTCTGTTGGCCGGCTGGTCGCAGGGTGTCATCTGGTTGGTCGAGGAGATCGCCAACGCTGTGACTGCTTCGGAGGGTGGTGCTGCCAGAGGTCAGAGGTCACAGGGCAAAGGCACACGAGAGCATTTAACGCACTGTGTCTTATACTGTGTCGGTGAACTACAGCAGGAAATTTAAAATTTGTGTTCTGACTAGAAGAATAAAACGAACATACATGTGAATATGATAGAATATGATCCCCTACGCCCAAATATACCCAGTGTAGCAGACGTTTACATGAAGCATTGTAATTGTTTTTTTAACATTTACTGAGTTCTCCCTAGTGGTGTAATGGGAGTGTGTCTGAAGTTACCAGCACGCATTCAGCTGAGCTGCAGGTTTGTGAGGCTCAGCGCCGGGGTCTCACCTGCACCCCGATTCTCCGGTGGATTCTGCCAGGGGTCCCACATAAGCAGCCGGGAACCAGCCCTGACTGGGAAAAGCAGTGTTGGGAGGTCATTAGAACACGCACACAACACTGCACAATAACACTGCATAACAACACAGAACACACAGAGCACCCAACACCACGCACGGCGCACACAACACTACACAGCACACAGAGCGCAATGTACTACACAGATAGCACAATAAAGATGGCAGTGTACAACAGAGCACAGTACGAAGCAAAGAGCACAGTGTTCAACAAAAAGGAGCACAGCACACAGCAGAGTACAGTGCAAACCAGAAAGCACCCTGCACAGAGTCCAGTACAGAGGGCAACACACAGAGCACAGTGTCCTACAGCACAGCGCAGTGCGGTCCTGCAACAGGTACTGCAGAACAGCACACTGGACAAAGAGCACAATGCACAATACAGAGAACAGCACACTGGACAAAGAGCACAATGCACAATACAGAGAACAGCACACTGGACAAAGAGCGCAATGCACAATACAGAGAACAGCACACTGGACAAAGAGCGCAATGCACAATACAGAGAACAGCACACTGGACAAAGAGCCCAATGCACAATACAGAGAACAGCACACTGGACAAAGAGCCCAATGCACAATACAGAGAACAGCACACTGGACAAAGAGCACAATGCACAATACAGCGAAC